GAGCTTCTTGTATAAGAGCAATTCGAATACTGTGGCGAGGAATGCAAAGTCTCTGTCTTTTGAAAAAATACCCATTAACAATGTGGTATTCACCTGCAGAATGAGTTTGGCAGTTAAAATACGATCCCCAAAGTCGGGATCTGTTGAGTATTCATTTTTAAGCACATCAAACTCAAGGACTTGTGGTTGAAGGGAAGTAAGTAGAGAATATTTGCGAGAAAGGGCGTCTGCACCCTTATTGAGTTTCCCGTATTTGTGTTTAATTGTGAAATTGAAGATTTGTAGAAATTCCACCCATTTTGCATGACGAGGTTGTAACTTGTGCTGGCCTTGAACATACTTCAAAGTTTCATGATCTGAGTGTAATATAAATTATTAAGAGATCAGGTAGTGCTGCAAGTGAGTTCAAGCTCAGATTAGGGCATATAACTCTTTGTCGTAGGTGGAGTATCTCCGCTTAGCATCATTGAGTTTCTTGCTAAAATAAGAAATTGGACGACCTAATTGGGACAACACAACTCCGATTTTGACTCTCGAAAAATCACATTCAACCTAGAATATTTCCAAGAAACATGGTAACACTAACACAGGAGTAGAGGATAGTTGTTTCTTGAGTTCTTCAAAAGCAAGTTGGGCAGACAAATTCCATTGAAACTGCTTGAGCTTGGTAATTTCAGTCATTGGGGCTACAATGGTACTAAATTTTTTGATAAATCTTCTATAAAAAGATGCAAGACCATGGAAACTTCTCACTTGTTGTATCGATTGTGGAACCGACCAGTATTTTTATAGCTTGAATCTTCTTGTCATCTACTCAGATTCCCTGTGCAGAAACCAAATACTCGAGAAAAGTCACCTGACTTGTGAAAAATTCACATTTCTCTAAATTCCCATACAGTTGTTCCTGATCGAGTACTTGAAACAGTTGAAGCAGATGAGACTAATGATCCTCGTGTGTACCACTGTATACTAGGATGTCGTCAAAATAGATGACAATAAATTTTCCCAAAAACAATTTGAGTATTTGATTCATCAAATGCATAAAGGTGTTTGGTGCATTTGATAAACCAAAAGGCATAACAAGCTACTCATACAGTCCTTATTTAGTCTTGAAAGCCGTTTTCCATTCATCTCCTTCAAAGATCCGAATTTGATGATACCCAC